TCTCTCTCTCTCTCTCTCTCTCTCTCTCTCTCTCTCTCTCTCTCTCTCTCTCTCTCTAATAAAGCTCTTTATAACTCTGGTAGTTGTGGCTCTGGCCTGTGACTTTTCCGCCGGTAACCAGCGCCACCAACCAGCACCATTTTACCATCAGTAATAATGACTTGAGGAGAGCAGTCCTGCATTATATTTAGATCAATAAAGATGTAACCGTACAGCAGTGTCACTACAGAAAGGTTGCGTTTCTGGCTGCGGATACAGCTAAGTGGGAGAGCCTGTGCTTAGTGTGTAGGGCCCTAGGTTCAATCCCCAGGGCCGGAAGCAAAGGAAGGTTCCTTCTCATCCTGATGACCGTGGGGCAAGATTCCTGGGGAGAATCTCGGCACATCTGACAAGTCCTGCCCAAGGTCACAGCTCTAATGCGCTGAAAGTTTAACACTTCAAGGGTCAAGGGCATTTGTTTTTTCCTGTTCCTGGCAATGCCAAGGGCTAGACAAATGTACATGCAGAAAGAGTTTAAAAAGCAAACTTCAAAACCAGATCTGTCTCCAGGGGTGTATCCGGTGTTGTCCTTGCAACAAAATGCCATTTGTTTAAAAGGTCTTCAAATCTTGGGAGCGAAAGAGGGTAGGTGTGAATTTTAGGCTAAAGGGAGTTTGGGAGCATCTGAGGTCTTTTGAGGCAAAGAAAGACACTGGGAAGTATGATGGTAGGAGAGGCACTCAGACCCTAATTCATCCTCCTCTCCCTACATGCTCTCGGGATGCCTAGGCTGGGCATCCCTTTCCTGAGATGTTTAGGACCAGAAGCATTTCAGATTGGGGATACTTTCTGCTTTTAGAATATTTACACTTAGTGTGTATAATATAAAGTCCTGGCCATGGGATCCTAGCCTAAGTCTGTAAGTTGTTAATGCTTCATATACACTTTTGACCCTCAGCTTGAAGGTGGTTTTATGTTTCTCTTAAAGTAGCAAGGGATTTTTTATTCAGAATCAAAATAAAACCATGGGCCAAAAACACTACAAGCCCTGAGCAGAGTGCTCATGAGCCTTACACAGTATTTTCAGTGAGGTCAGGTGCAGAACCTACCTGTGGCATCTTGTTGACGTTCAGAAGGTTTCAGACTTGGGGACATTTTGCATTTCAGCTTTTCGGATTACAGACCTCAGCCTGTAGTTATTAGCTCCTAGCAGCAGCAGCAGTAATGTGCATTGGGGCTCGCTCAAGCAGGAAAGGACAAACAGACCCTGGGTCCGCTTGTCCTCTGGTGCCACCCACCCAGACTCTCTCAGCCTCGGGTACACAAACAGCATGGTGACACTCATTTCAACATCCTCTCTCACCATCATCACAGGTTTCTACTACTCGGCCGTGGTTTCCTCTGCCCATGCGCACTGAGACACTGTTACAAAATCAGACTGCAAAGCCAGCGTGGCCAGGTAGTCAAACAAAGCTCGCCCTACAGGAGCCAAGTCCATTGTGCGCATCACCTCCTTGCCTGTTGGAAGTCTTCTGAGCTGTTCCTCACAGACATACGTCCTTACCTCCAGCAGCCTCGGCTCGCCCCAGGGCCTGCCCTTCTCTCTCTGTTCTGGGGGCTCTGGCCTTGTCTGTCTTGGTTTTTTTCTTCCTCTCAGGCTTGTCAACCAAATCCCTTCCCTAAAGGAAGAAATGTAGGAAGAGGACCGTGAACATAGAGGAAACAGAAGAGTTCGTCAAATGAAGATTACTCCGAGAGAACAAGGGGACTGGGGCTGAGGATGAACGCATCTGAGTTCCGGATGAAGCAGACGGCCAGCGTCAGAGCATGGAGTGGGGAAAAGGGCACCTTTTATTTCAAATAATTAGGAAGAATTTCAGAGGAGGAAGAGGAAGAAAAGCCCTTTATGGCCTGCCTTCTTTTTCCATGTTATGTCAGGGTCTGCAGAGCTCGAAGCAAAGGAAACAATTTTCTTGTTTGTTAGTGCGGCCACTGTTGGCCAAGCGATTGAATGCAGAGCCGTCTTTATATTCATAGCTACATCATATGCTGCCTTTGAGAAGACCCCAGGCAGGTAGCAAGAGCCTTGCCAGCCTTTCCCTTTCCCCATGGATGGTGACAACATGGAGGTTCCCTCTAAAAGAGGATGGCAGAGTCGGGCCATGGTCATCTACTTTGTAGGGTTTGGTAATGGGGCCCTTGTCCTTCGGGACGATGCAGCCTAGTGCAGGGTGCAGGGCCTGGTGGGCAGACATCACTGAACCTCGGCCCCTACTGCCCCTTTAGTGAGGTGCTGTATCTATGAAGCAACCTTCGGAAGTCTACACGGAGCCTTGGAGGGGTTCCAGGCAGGGTTTCCAGACCAGATTCTTCATTCCCACACTCACATGACTGATGGCAGCTGAGTTCTGCTGGTCGGACAGTTTTGGATCCAGTTTCTTCTTCTTTTTTCTTCTTGGAGGAAGAGATGCAGCCTCAGAACCCAGCCTCTCTGGGGATGCCAGCTCGCGTTCTAGCAGTCCTCTGTGCAGGCGGTACACATCGTCATCTCCGTCCCTTTGGAAAGAGCAAGCCAGTAGACCAATTTAAGGGCCGGAAATTTCAATGGGAGGGAAGAGAGGAAGTGAACAGATGTCACAAAACAACTGTGATCGGCTGTGGGGATATCTGACACACTCAGGCAACTTTCTCCTCACGTTCCTGTTTAAGCCAGATTAGGAAGGGTGCTCTTCACTTTCGGGGGTTGGGGGTTCCCTTCAGGTAACCCCTAAAACATGGACAACTGGAGAAACAGTTGGCGGCTTCTCATTGCATGTTTACACCTTTAAATGAGAGCTGGTCTGGAGGGTCTGTCAGGAAATCACAACTAAGAGGGGACCCTGGACCAAAGAAAGACGGGCCCGCCTCTGGGGAAGGGTGTCCTCTTCAGGGGGGCCAGCAGCTTTGGGAGGGACACGTGTGGAGCAGTGAGGGAGGAAGGAGACACACACCCAGCCAGTCAGATTGGCTGGGTCAACCCTGGCGATCCAGCAGTGGGGTGACAGGTAGCAGTCGGATCGCCCTCACGGACAGAATTATGCAACTGTAATGTCTTCTCGCAAAGGCTTAGCTGGGAGAGGAAAGTGGCCTTTAAGAAAGATGACCTCAAAGACACACAATTGTCCCCTTCATTCCTTTGCTTCTCTGAGTTTTATTCTTAACCAGATTCAGCCACGACGAGGTCGTGTGTGTTCAGTCTCGAGTGTTCTGGAGTGGTTGGCGTCACAGACTTATGCCCGTGGGTGGCAAGGACAGCAGCCCCGGGGCCGTGTGCCGGCTGGGTGCTGGGTCTCGTCTGGGTCTTTTTTCTTTTTAGTTAAATCGATATATTTACTTTGGTGTGCTAGCCCAGGGCCTTGCTGTGGAAACCTGAGAAATATTTGTTGAGTGAGGTAAATGGAATTTCCTGTAAATACACGAGTCTTTAAGTCCTCCAGTGACACTCTATAAAAACTCACAGAAGTCTGCTTTAGGACGGTGCTAGGAAAACCTCGGTTTCCCCAAGGAGCAAGCCAGCTGCACATGAGCGCCTCAGGCCTGACTGGGTGGCTGTTTTTTTTCTTCCACATTTAGGAATCTGTGCTAAATCCGAATTTTGGTCACAGTAACTGTAATGGATTTTGTGGAGTGTTTCATGCTTTTTTAAAACTGTCCTCTTGATGAAAAAAATAATTCTCTTTGATTATTTCATTGGCTTTGGCTAGGGGAGGGGAGCTGTAATAACCTGTTTAAAATATGTTGTGGGAAAAGGGATAAAAACAAAACAAAACAAAAAGTCTTTACTGACTCCCTCATCATAGAGGCTTCTTTCTGTTGCTTCTGGTTCGTCACACAACTTTTTTGACCTGAGAGTTTATACTGCTGATCTCTAATCACCCCAGGCTCATGGAACCCACAATCAGGTTGGTTCCAGCTGGTAGCAGAGAAGTCTACAGCAGAGCCCACAACCTAAGGAGACTGAGGCAAAGGTCTGGACCAGGCTGCTGGCCAGTGAGCTCATAGTAAGCACACAGGAAGGTGTTCCTGTGTTGGCAGGGATGAGAAGAAGCCATGAAGGTGGCCGGCCATCTTTATTTTGTCCAGAGTTAATGAACCTGAAGGAACCAGGATGAACTGATTGTCCCCAGCCTTCCAGGGGTCCCTGTAAACGTCAGGTGCACGGACACACCAGAAGGCTGCTTGGAGGTGGCTCAAGTTCATTCTTCTCCACCTCACCTGGAATACTTGGATTAAGAAGCTCACTCATCAATGTGTAACCCACCCAGGGGCTGCCGCTTTTAATCCCAGCTGCCAGCATGTTATGGCATGAATCTCAGAAACAAACAAACAAAAAAGCAGAAAGTAAATCAATGAAAACAAACCCCTGATGGATGCAGAGAAGCCGCCGTGGCTACAAGCTGCACACTTACGTGCTTTTCACGGTGTCAGCCTCGGAGGTCCGATTGAGCTTAGCTGCAGGAGTACTGAGGGGGTCAAGGGTCATGCTCCCTGGCTCTGGGTCTGTGAAAATAGAGTATCCTCCATCAGCAAACGACCCAGGCAGTTTTCCCAGGAGGAAATCGGGCAAGTGGAATGTCTACTGGTGCGTCTTGAGCAATGTTGATGAGAGCAATAAGCCTATAGAGGGACCAGTGATGGTGTGTGGCAAGTGACATTAAAATGACTAAAATGTCCTTCAGGAAAGTGTTAGGACAGTCCGTGTCTAGAACCAGAAAACTGTTTCAGCCTTAATCAGGACTCTCACCTGGGTATTTATCACAAGGTTATAATTCAAAAGAACAAATAAGCTTTTGTAACAACTTGTTTGTTTTATTTGTTGGTAATGAAGATTAGAGAGAATTCAACAAAGAAGACTTGGGAAGTGATGTATCCGTGACTGTGGTACTTAAACCCACAGGGAAGGTTTATGTAGCTCAGAGAGAGAGCTTGTTTCTTATGTGCAAGCCTCAGGACCACTAAAAAAGGTTAATGAGTAGGAAAGAAAAGAAAGAAAGAAAATTCTGGCTAAAAAGAGAAATATTGAAAATATGGAAAGGATTTATGGTATAACGACAAGAAGAGCCAGAGACCATAAAAAAGTGGTACGATTAAAGTCTGCAGGAGGCAGAAGGATCACCTCACGTTCCAGGCTAGCTGAGGGTTAATATTCAGACCCCTGTCTCAAAAATCAAACAACAGTCACAAAAATCTAGATGGCTAAGGATTAGAAGAGAAAATAGACAAGGAATATTATGTTAGAGTAGAATATTTATGCATGTTTAAATTTTCTTCTTAAAACCCTAGTGTGGGGGGCTGGAGAGTTGGCTCAGAGGTTAAGAGCACTAGCTGCTTTTCTAGAGGACCTAGGTTTGATTCCCAAGCACCCACATGGTGGCTCACAACTATCTTTAGCTCCAATCCCCGGGGATCTGACACCTTCTAACTTCCTAGAGCACCGGGCACATGCATGGTGCACATATGCACATGCAGGCGAAACATTGGTACACATAAAACAAATATAAAAACATGAGTGAAGCTCCTCTTTGCTGGGCTGTGGTGGTGCACACCTTCGATCCCAGCATTAGGGAGGTAGAGGCAGGCTCTGTGAGTTCAAGGCCTGCCTGGTCTACAAAGCTAGTTCCAGGACAGACAAGGATTTGCAGAGAAACCCTGTCTTGAAAAACAAAATAACAAAACAAAACAAAACAAAACAAAACAAAAGCACCAGTGTGCTTATAACAGTAGAAAGCAAATTGTTTTAAACAGTGCCATCTTTATGAGGGAGGTTTATGCACATTCCCCTGACAACCTGCAAATACCATGGTCAGGCATTACCCACTGTTCAGTTGGTCATGCTCCCCTACATCCAGGGCTCCTTGGTAACTCTGGTTCCCCTTTTCCTTTCTCATACATTCACGTGATAATGACTCTCACACATGGAGCACCCTCTGGGTTTTGGAGTGGGAAAAAGACTGTTAGTGTACAGCGTGGCTGAGGAACGTACCTGAGAATTTCTTTTACTTTGTATAAGTGACATTAGCGGGTAGTAGGAGATGATTACAGTATCTATGGCATCTCCATGACAAGAGGACCCCTGTGAAGATTTATTTCTTCAACATGGTGGCTCGGGGTGGGGGTGTGGAGATTGGGGGAAACTCATTGAAAGCATGTTCGGCTCTGAACAATTTTTTTTTTCCAACTCGGGTGCAGGGATTGAGATGACCACCAGAGGGCGAAATTGTACTGTCCAGAAGCGGAGGCTTAAACTGGTAGTTAACCCCACCATTTGAGATCTGGGGATGTGAGCCAAGGAAGGAGGATTTCTATCACTTAGTAAAATCACCTGAGAGCATAACTCTGCAGAGCGTAGAATAAGATCTTGTGTACTCATTACCCACGGACTTCCCAGTTAGCCTTGTGAGATCTGAATAGTGTCACATATTAGATTCACATTTTCCCAATAAAGAAATGAAGTATTTGGTCATGTGAGAATCACGGCTTCATGGAAGAAAAGAAGTAGGGACACGTGGAAGAGCCAGCAGTATCATGCATCAAGAGAGCAAGCCAGGGAAGCCTAATTTGGCCGATAACAACCTGCTCTCACTACAATTAGCCCACTCTTGAGGGAACACTGAGCCTTTCATGAGAGTGAGGTCCTGGGCATAGAATCAATTTCGGGTTGGTTTCAGAGACAGGTCTCACTATGTAGCCCAGGCTTGCCCAGAACTTAGTCTCCCTGCCTCAACTTTCCCAGTGTAGGGTTGCAGGCATGTGTTAGCACATCAGATGGACTTTCACAATTGCCTTGAATGGATAGATTAATTTAGGGGCGATTGCCTTCTCTTTTCCTTTTTTTCCAGAAAGAATCTTGCTAGGTCACCCAGGCTGGTCCCAAGTGTCACACACCCTGTTTGGGATTGTCATCTTTATGATAATGGTTTCTCCTATCTGTGAACACTATACGCAGGTTATAGAGATTATATCTATTCATGTCTATTTTTCTTTAATTGAAATCATATATTATCCTTTTTTTAAGATTTATTTTATTTATTATACATACCGTGTTCTGTCTACATGTGTCCTTGTAGGCCAGAAGAGGGCACCAGATCCATTACAGGTGGTTGTGAGCCACCATGTGGTTGCTGGGAATTGAACTCAGGACCTCTGGAAGAGCAGCCAGTGCTCTTAACCACTGAGCCATCTCTCCAGGCCCCCATATATTATCTTAAAATTATACTTTCCCATATTTAAGTCTACAAGTTAATAATTAGTAATGAGACTTTAAAAATTAGAGTGAGTTCCAGGACAGCCAGAGCTACACACAGAAACTCTGTCTCGAAACAGAACAAAGATCAGATTATGAGCAGAAGCATCCCTCTTCCCTTTTTGCTCTGTACAGGCTGCTTGCTGTCGAAGCAGGCAAGTTCATGAAACCAGGGCAAATGGCGCTGGTCCTGGCTGGACGCTACTCCGGACACAAAGCCATCATTGTGAAGAACACTGTTGATGATGGCACCTCTCCCTTGTCGTCATGTTCTGGTGGCTGGAATTGACCGCTATCCCCCCCCCCCCAAATGACAGCTGCCATGGGCAAGGAGAAAAATGCCAACAGGACTTCCTTTGTGAAAGTTTACAACCGCAGTCACCTCGTGCCCACAGAGTGCTCTGTGGCTGTCCCTTTGGACAAAACTGTTGTCAACAAGGACATCTTTAGAGACCCAGCTCTGAAGTGCAAGGCCCGGAGGGAGGGCCAAGGTCAAGTTTGAGGGACTATACAAGACAGGGAAGAACAACTGTTTTTTTTCCAGAAGCTTCGATTTTAGGTATATTTTTGTTTCCATAATTAAAAATTTAAAAAGAAAGAAAAAAAGAAAGAAAGAAAGAAATTAGATCGCTGTAGGGGACTGCTGGGAAACCAACTCGTTGAAAACTGATGCATAAAGGGAATGATTGACCAATTATCCTGCCTTCCTATGTAAACTACAATTGGATAATTAAAAGTAGCACACAGGGAATAGTCCTCTTTGTTGGAGTTTCCCAACTAGTAATTGAGGAAGCTGGGTGGTGGCGCACGCCTCTGATCCCAGCACTAGGGAGGCAAAGACATGCAGATCTCTGTGAGTTCAAGGCCAGCCTGGTCTACAGATTGAGTTCCAGGGCACCTAGGGCTACACAGAGAAACCCTGTCTTGAAAAACCAAAACAACAACAGCAAAACTAGTAATTGAGGAAGGATTGCTAGAATTCCATACAGTATCGTGATTTTGCCAGCTCCACTCCTGATGGATCTGTAGCCACCGACATGGACAAGAGACAAGAACACTCTGTGTCCTGAGAGACACAGAACTGGCCTTGCCAAAAGGAAGGATGAAACCTGAGCCTGATTAAGTCCCTAGACCCAAGGGCCGAGTGACAGGAAACAGGAAAGCCGGGACACAAGAAACCACAACAGGAAGACATGGTTAGCAAAATTAACATCACCGGAGACTCGGCAGGACACAGAGACCCACTTTTCTGAGTGTAGACTACAAGAGGGGAAAGAAAGAAATAGAATAGAACCTATCATTTAAACGGCACTTGAAGGCCATATCAACTAATTACAGTCAACTCAAACAAGTACAACCGTGAAACAACAAGAACTTGAAAACTATGAAAGCATGGTCAACCATATTAAAGAATTCTTTGGATTCTTAGGTGTGAAAAGGTCTTAGATACTTTTCTACAGCTGGGATGAAATGTCATGGCCAAAAGCAACTTGGGGAGAAAGGGGTTTATTGGGCCAGTAAGCAGCACCCCTCCACGGCCTCTGCATCAGCTCCTGCCTCCAGGATCCTGCCCTGCTTGAGTTCCTGTCCTGACTGTCTTCAGGGATGAATAGCAACATGGAAGTGTAAACTGAATAAACTCTTTCCTCCCCCATTTGCTTTTTGGTCACAGTGTTTGCTTGCAGTGATAGAAACCCTAAGACGCCCGTCCTGGCGACACACACCAGTAATCCCAGATCTTGGGAAGTAGAGGCAGGAGACAAGGCTATCCTCTACTATATAGTGAGTTCCAAGCTGGCCTGGGCAACATGAGACCCTGTCTCAAAGAACAAAGCAAAACAAAAACAATAATAAATAAAAATAATTTCATTTGCCTTTTGTGCCTTGAAAGACTATGTAACTGATCTGTAAAATCTGTATTTAGTAATCAGTCCTTTTGTTTGTTTTTAGTGGCTTGTCTGTTGTGGTGTGGATCGTAAATGCCTCTCCTGGGTTACGTGCTAAAGGCTCGGCCACCAACCTGGGCTGACATTAGGAGGCAGTGGTACCTTTAGGGGATGGGCCTCGAGGAAGAAAGGTTATCTGGGGTGTGCCTTTGGAGTAGATATTGGGACCCCAGTTCCTTCTTTTCTCTCTTCGCTTCCTGACCACACCAGGCGGTCTGCTCTGCTTCACGCTCTCTGCCATGACGTTCTGCCTTCTGCAGCCCCAAAGCAACAGGAGACAGGTGACCAGGGACCGACCCCTCTGTGACCCT